TTGAGGCAATTCACAGTGGTGCTGTAGAGATGATGTTAAGTGGCTGTCTGAAGGGTAAGTTAGTGCTCCTTGTCAGGTGGAAGGAATCTTACTTTTCTATGCTGATGGGGATGAACATCGAGGCATAGGTGGGAGATGAAAATGGTGAGCTGTGTGTCAACAAAGTGGGCAATTCTTCAACCCACTGGACACCAAAGTACATTTTCAGAAGCCAAACCAGTTTGTCTGGAGGTAAGAGTTGTCCTTAATCTGTCTTCCACGAAAAAAAAAAATGATGTCAAAGGGAAAATGTAGGTGAAGTTTAGAGGAGAGATGGATACCAACTTGTCATGCAACAAAGAACTGCTAAGAGAACAGAACTTTTAATATGGCTTATGTTTCTGTGACTTGCAGAGAAAGCTAAACCAAAAGCCAAGAAGAAAGAAGAACCAAGTTCTATTTTCCAAAGGCAGCGGGTCGATGCTTTGCTTTTAGACCTAAGACAAAAGTTTCCACCCAGATTTGTTCAGGTATGACACTTCTAAGCCATAGTGTTACTGTAACTTAGTTGAACTTAAGACAATCAATAAGTACTTGAACAGGTGAAACTGAATGGGAATTTTGTGTGCTTTCTGCAAGGGTAACATGGTTTATATAATAAATTTGAAATGGAACGCTCTGATTGGAGTGTAGGATTCCCCTTGGTAATTGCAGAAGTCATTAATACTTTGGCAAAATTATGAGGGCAAATTTTAGTATACAAATTCCTTATCTAATCACAGAGGGGCTGTTATTGTCAGCTTATCAGATTTTGCTGCTGCTTCCAGTTTCTTGCTTTGTGAGCTCAATCAAGGCACCACAGCTATTTTGTTTTAGTTACTGCATTGTTCTGGAGGCTTATTAATTAGCATGGAAATTCTTGGTGTTCTGTGAAGTTGTTGTGATTACCTCTGATCGTCTCTAGTAGCCATTTGTTCCACTAGGTATAGCATCTCACAAAACTATTTACTCCTCAGATGTGGGAGAGACTGGCTAACTGCGTATTTTTTGCGTTAGTGCTTTTCAGTTGTCAGAGGAAAAACTGGTTGTTATAAAACATTAATTGGATTTTGTTTAAAGTGTATTTAGTGAACCCTTCTACCCTCAACTCTCATGTATAAAAGTGCATTGCTTGGTTTCTATTCCTAAATGAATAATAGGACAGGTTAAGAATTATGACTTTGGTTCTACTAACATGGGGTGTTGTTTTTTTTTCTTCCTCCCCCACAGCAAAAGCCTGGAGAAAAGCCTATCCCAGGTAAAATCCTTAATATTTGCACAAGACTTAAAACATAGGCTCTGTATAATGTTGTCTTCCAGTTGCCATATAAGCTCCTTGCTGCTGCTGCTGAGGTGGTTAGGAATTCTGGCATTGCCTAATTGTGCAAAGTACTAGGTAAGAGCAAAGTACTACGTAAGAGTTCTCTGTGACAGCCAGAGTGAAACTGAAAAAAATCTGTATTCTACTCCTTTCTGTCTGTAAAACTCTGTTGTCTGAAGGTCCAAATGCAGGAAATCCTTTGAAAGCAGGAGGAGGATGAAAGGGTGAATAAGGAAGCAGTTTAGTCAGTCCAGGATCTTAGTGATTTGGCATCGTGCTAGAAGCTCATGAAAGCATGTGAAGGCTTTGAGTTGATCATAAGCAACCTCAAAACAGGAAAAGCATGAACTGTATCTCTTCAATCTATTCCACTTTTTTACCTGTATAGGTGTGAATTTAGTCCTTGGTTATTCCTATACCTTTGATATTAATTTTGTCCCTTTGACATCAACACTATTTTCTAAGTACTCTGAATAGTATTTTAGGAATAAAAATTGGAGGTTTAACATTATTTTGCTGTTACTTCCTTAAGTGGATCAAATCAAGAAGGAGCCAGAACCAGCACCTGAAGCTGTCAAGTCAGAGGAAAAAGAGACTGTAAAGAATGCTCAGCAGAGCGCTGGTGCTAAAGGACCACCTGAAAAACGGATGAGACTCCAGTGAAGGGAGAAGTTGTTACACATCTGGATTAGTCAGTACCTGGAAAACAAGAGATTCTTGCTCCCCTTTCTTTATATTTAAGCTCTTCCACCGAGACTATTTGGGGACTGAAGTCCCTGTAACAGCTTTTTCTGTAGAAATGTGTCACACAAATGTTAATGTTGGGATGTGAGCTGCCTCAAAGAAGATGTTTTCAATCTTCATCTTATTTTGAGTGTTGGCTTCTGAGAATGGTTTTTACATGGACATAGTTTGCAGCATCCTGAAATCTTTAGGAACTCTTGCATCCCTTGTGTCTTGGTTTCCTATGTAAAAAGAAAAAACTTTTGTATATTAAAAAAAAAACCTGAACTCTAGGCAAATAAAACTCCTGGCTGCTGGAATGCCTTTCTTAAATGCTTGCTTCATTAGTAGCAAATATGCCATATGTGCTGGCAGCACTTTTTTGCTTGGATATTGGAATATATTGTGTGCTATTTTGAGGAAGAAAAGTTCGACTAAAGGATTTAGGCTACCTGCTATAAATTGTTGTGCCTTTATTACGCTTGGGATACAGATAGAAGATTTGATAAACTGGAGGCTCAAATCCATGTAGTTAGATGTCAAACTCCTCTCAGTCTCTAAATGTTCTTGGGCATTCATTTTACTTAATGGCTAAGCTGGTCTTTTATTATAGAAGCTAGTGTTCTGTGAGAGAGATTTATGATGACATAAAACAGCCTAAAATGTCTTGTTGCACACTCAGTGAAGCTGTTTATATTTGCACTTTTTTCACTGTAACTCAAATATATCAATTACATCTCTTCCGCTGTGCTTCCAGCACTTTCTTACTCATCTGATCACCTTGATTAGTCATCTGCCTTTTAGACCTGAGGAGGTATAGCAGAGCAGTGGAAGAGAAACATCACTGACAGGCATACACTTTGCTATTTAGGCGTGTTGCTTATACAGACTTTTTTTCAGAAAAAATAAGAAATCATCCATTGCAAAGAAATAACTATTGGTTTTGTTTTGTTTCATTGAAGTAATCGAGCAATCCTTGAAATAGCTTGCATTCTTTTCACAACTGTTCATTTCTTTCTTGTAGTAAACTGTAGTAAGCAAGAAAAAGGTCTGTACATAGCAAGCAAAATGTAGATAGGAAGGAAGACTAAGATATGCTTAGATAGCTCTGTCAAATTTATTTTGAGGTTATAAGAGACTGTTTCAGTAACTAATGAACAGCTCTGACTGGGTAGCTATTGAATGATGGAAAGACCTATGTAGTTTTTGTTCTGTAATCCAAAGATGTAGATAAGCCAAGAGCTGTTTGCTGTTGATGCAGATACAGACCTAAAATTCATACAATGGTGTACTTAAGTGTGTATTAGCTTTGTTTAGTATCATGTGGGTCAAGTTTGAACGGCTATTTCTCCAAATGTTGATAGAAGCAGATACTAAGCTAGTGTGAACTCTTAAATTAAGTGAAGATACAGAAAGCAGTTATTCTGGGATGCTCAGAATGAGACAGAGCTAATTATTCAGCATTGAGTAATTACAAGGTAGCGTTAATACACTTAGAACGAAAGGGTGTTGATTCTTTCTTGTATTAAAGAAATTCCTCTGGAAGCAAGGAGCTCAAGAAGCACCAAAGCCATCATCTCCTCCACCTCCGTGATGGGAAGGGTGATCTCCAGAAATGTGGAATGAGTGGTGAGGAACCTCAGGAGTCCTTGCTGGATTTTTGATGTTCAGAATAAAGTCTGAACCTTAATTTAAAGGAGCTGAATTTATCTGTAGTTACTCATATTAATAAGAACCTGTATGTCATTTGGAAAAAATTGAACGAGAAAGATGACTAGACTGCACTAGTAACAAAGATCTAGGGTGGTTTTGTTTGGGTGTTAGTTTTTTTTGAAGGAGAAAAATTAACACATAGTATGAGCAAAGTATTCTGTCAGTCACTGGACTTCACCTGAAATAGTGTGTTGTACAGCTCAATGTCTGAAAAAGAATTCCCCTAAAGTAAAGGGGTTTGAAGAAGGTCAATAAAATGAGTAGGAGGAAGTTTTTCTTCCATGAAGCCAGTGGGAGGACCAAGACTTCAGTTCCTTAGGAAAGAAAAGACAAATACTGAGTCTTTATAAAACTAAGTGCTGTGAAGCAAGTAGGAAAGCAGAGAACACTCATTCTGTCTCGTAGTACAAGAATAGAGGGACAAGTTAATGAAGCTGAATTGGAGTTATATTTAGACTGAATTGTTACACTCCATGCCCAGAATTTGAGCTGATTCAGAGATGAGAGTGGAACTTGAAGGGGCAGACAGTCCTCACATCTGCATCTCTTAACAGCCTTTTTGCTTTCTGCAGAAATGTCTGGTACTGGCTGGTGTCAGAGGGCATTAAAAGGGATGGAATTCTGGTCTGATCCCATGCCAGTTAAAATGCCAGCATCTAAGCTATTGAGAGGATAGAAAATGGCTTCCATGCATGAAACAAAGTATTTAGGTGTGATAGCCCCTTCCAGGGAAATCATCTTTTCCTGAGAGAATTACATTAGAAAGCAGTAAGGGATGTTAGCAATGAGTGTCAGCTTCTTAGCAGCTGTCCTTCAATGCTGAAGGTTTGCCATGTGAGGGAATGAGGGACTGAAATGTCTTCTGATCCTGTTAACTTGCTGACAAGATATTTAAAAATAATTTTATCAGTTAAGTGATCTTTGATACTAACTTACTCAAGCGACACTATGTCAAATATTATTGTTAAACTCCAAGTCATTTACTGTCAAAAAGCTGTTAAGCGCTATCTTTTAGTCAGTAATGGTTTTCATTGAGAATCCAAGCCTTTTCTCTGTTACTTACACATTGTCTCTTGGTTTGGAGCCCAAGTGCCAAAGTCCTTCAAAGGACCTTCACTATTTATAAAGCTTTTAGATGAAAGGGAAATAAGCAAGCAGTTCTGAAATTTGCCCTGTGTGTCACTTCCTTTTGCATAAAGGAGAGATTTGGTTGTACAGGAGAGTTATCTCTACTTTTGCTCTTAGATAATAACCATTCAGACTTCAAAAGGGCTTTTCTTGGCCTAAATCACAGAGTAGCAGGAGCAAAAAATGACCTAGAACTCTTAATAGAAATATTTTCCTGAGAGCCTGAATGTATAAACATGTGTGTATACATCTGCATACATGCAAAAATCCAGCCAGATTGTAGGAAAAGGGGCAATCTAGCTACCTCAGATCACTGTGTAAAGCTAATGGTGTCTGAGATGCAGCACAAATACTGTCTTTTCACTAAGTAAGGCCTGAACAAGTTATGTGCTATTTTTGCCCATTCCTCTTTGCTGTTCCACTCCCATACTTTGTACTTTGGTAACCTTTTCCTAGCAAAGAAAGTTTGATGCCATTTGGATAGTCGGTACATATTGTTTACCAAAGCAAGCTATACTTGGAGCAAGGTTAGAAGGGTATAGGCAATAGCAGGGACAAGGCAAAGGGGAGACATTAGCTTTATTGTGAGACATGGAGGCTCCCTGTGAGGAAAAATGGTGAAGATATGTTATGTAAGTAGATTGTGGCTTCACTGAACCAACACATGGCTTCTGAACAAAAGCTGATGTGATATACCTTTTCAGGTTTTTTTTTTTATATTTTTTCAATGGCAAAGCAAATGATGATAACTAGGCACTCAGGGTTTAAGACAGTTTTCCTTTTTTCTTGGAGAGGAAGGTGAATTTTTGATAGTGTTGCTTTGGTCCTGTAATCATGCACAGAACAAACAAATGGTCACTTATGTGACAAGTGTCCTTCTGTACCCTATGTGCATCATAGATGAGATGAGTGGTGGGGAGAAATTTTCCCAGTGGGATGAGTTATGATATATTATTGACCTCTCAGCAATCAGAAGGCTTCATTTCTTTCTGCCAGAACAGTGGATTTCAACCTGTGGTCTACAAGGCTGCTGGGGTTTTGTGACCTGTTCCTAAAGACTCAACAGAAGGTGAGAAGAGTAAACCTCTTGCCGGAAGGATTCAATTCCATAGGAGCTTGTACCTTCACTGGAAATTTTAGGGGGCTACAAGATTAAAAAAAAAAAAAAAACACTGATGAATCATGAGAAAGCCAGTTATGCCTGCCAAACAAATGTTTCTGCAGTTGAAGTAGCTATGGATCGCTGCGATATATTTTTCCTTGCTCTACTGTAAGGTCAGTCATTTTTCTTTCCAACCTGTTCATTGTCATATAATGGGAATCTTTCCCTTCTTCCCCTTTGATCTTTACCTGATCAGAGTATAGAAGTGCAAGGCTCTGCTAGCCTGAACACAACAGTGTTGTCTCTTTTTATGTAATCTCACTGCTGAAGGGCTTGCTTAGGTGCTCAACAGTGTCGCAAACTTCCGTTGGCACTTCCCCAACCCAAGAATAACCTGCCATGAGTTCAACAACGGAACCAGAATACTTTCTAGTCCTAGCTATATAGTTATCTTTATATTAAAAGAGAAAGTAAGTAGTAGGCAACTTCAGGGGGGAGGGATAAGACGTGTCTGTAGCAAGTTGGCAGAGTGATTTCATAGGGCCTTTTCTACAACTTAAGGAGTGATCACACAGCAGAAGTATGCATTTAAACATAGCGCTACAGACACTGCACACAAAGGTTATGTAACAGGATTTTTCTATTATAGTTATTGTGGTCTGAGTTGTATTTATTTCAACAGACATAATCTGATGTAGTTCACAGCCCTGGAATGCAAAACTGATACTTGAAAAGACAACTAACTGCACATAAAAGACTTCACAGAAAATAATTTCTATAATTTTAAAATTAAAACTAATAAAATAAATCTAAGGCTAACACAGGTCATGAGTTTGTTCACTTTTAGGTAAAGCAGTAATAAATTTCAAACATGGATGTGGTTATCTAGAAAGATAATAGGTGCAGGTGTCCTCCTGTTTTCATTCCTTTAATCTGAGGTACTGTATTACAAGGTGTACGCTACAAATGCTGGCCACACTTGCAATGAATGAGCAAGGTCCCAATTCACAGAATCTGAAGCCCCTTTGGACAACTGTTGGTAACCTCCACAGCTGTTGGTTAGGCCTGCCATGTGCCCAGCTCAAGGTACTAGCCCACTGAGGATCCTGGGGGATGAGGCAGCAGAGGGAGGCTCTGAGCACTGTGCCAGCTTCTCGCTGCTCAGCCTTCTGAGGGGCAGTGCCTGTCTTGGGCAGTTTGAAATGCTGCCTGTGCTAGGGTGATGGTCAGCACGCAGAAGTTGGTGCCAAAAGGCAGGATCCCTGAGATTGAGATGGGGTGGTGGGAGGGTGCACCTCCCGCAGCAGAGAAAGATAAGGGCTATAGTAGGTTGGACTTCATCCCAGACATGCTTTCAGTGCTGAAAAGAAAGATGTG